TGTGCCCGGAGCTGGAACAGAGCTGGAGCACAGAAAATCTTGGCTGCTCCACTGTTCCTGTTTTTTTTTTTCCCATTTTCAATCCAAAATGAATGATATTTAGCAAGAAAGTCCTGAAGATGCCAAAAAGTTTCAGATTGTATAAAAACTGATATCAACATCTACTTTAGCACTTTACGTAATATATCACAGTTATTCTCACTTCGGCTGAAATCAAGATTTGATGTACAGATACAAAATTACAAAGTTTTTTGGAGATATGTTTTATTAAAGAATCAGATAATTATGAGACACCCGGCAACGCTGCAGACTGCTCCCACCCTTGTGTCAAGGTTAGGCGAGAACGTACTCGTGTAGATTAGTTAGATACTTCTTTCTGAAGGGTTGATCAACGAGACGCGCTGAGTACTGCAATTACAGAAAAGTGTGACGCAAGATGCAACATTTAAGATATCACAAACAGGTATATTGCAAAAAAAATGTTTTTGTTTATTGATATATTAAGGTATCACAAAAGATATTAACCACTTAAGCTCATTTCTCACACAGGATCCCGTTACCGGTACAATTGTTCATTTGTACATGCTCCCATATCACTCTGGCGGACTTATTTTATATGTCATCTGTTCAATGGTCTTTTGGTAGCGTTGTTTGTAATTTTAAATTTACTGAAAAAGTTGTGTGCAGCAGGCATATAAATATACAGTAAACATTTTTACATAAATTAGGAGTGATTTTTGTGATATATCCAGAGTGATTGGAAAATGTCCAGCACAACTTTGGGGGTGAATCCTTAGGTCATTTAAGAAAAAACATTTCTTCCTAAGGTGATGAAAAGTTAATTTCTGATTAATATCTCAAAAACACTTCAATAAAGTAATGAAATTATGCCTGTGTCTTAGCGTTAGTATGTGCTACCATATTACATTATCCAAAATTATTAAAACCATAGGCATCCCGATCTGGTGGTTGGTCATTTTTATTTCATATTTCAAGAAAGGCTTGTCGTCGACTGCCCCTGGCTACGAGCAGTACTATTATGTTCCATAATAAGTTAATAATTTTTTATTATTTATTATTACGTTTAAAATTTATGGTTCCAAAGTTGAAAAATAAGTAATAAGTAAAATTGTTTGTATCATTCTAAGCATCTAAGCATTAAAATTTTTAAACAGTTTTCTCAGAAACGGTTAATTATACAAAATAAATTAAGAGTACCATTTTAATGCATGTTTTAGCATTAAATCATATTCCAGGGTCGTATCTGTTAAACAGTCGAAGATTTAAAAAATGTTAAATAAACTTGGCCTAGTCCCCCCAGTTCATAGCGCCTGTAGTTTAAATAATTTTATTTGAATGCTGTTGTATGATAGAACGTTGGAAATAAACTTTAACAGGAAAGCAGATTCAAATTGCAAGCACAGTCCTTTTAGTAAAGACAGCAAATTTTTGGAAATATGTTTTTCCTTCATCAGTCTGGAAACATTATACAAGATAGAGCAAATAACAGGTTCTATCTTGTATAATGTTTCCAGACTGATGAAGGAAAAACATATTTCCAAAAATTTGCTGTCTTTACTAAAAGGACTGTGCTTGCAATTTGAATCTGCTTTCCTGTTAAAGTTTATTTTCACCCTTGTAACATGTAGCCTCATTACTTCCCAACAATTAATGTTGCAGAATAGCGATAGCACGGACTAACGCTACGGCACATACCAAATTTCATTGATATATGTATATTAAAGCATTTTTGAGATATTAATTAAAAACTTGGAAAATATTTCGAATATTTTTACCACAAAATTTCATAAGAAAAACTAACTTGCAATTTATAAATAAAAATTTATATTATGTATATTAAAATACTTCTTACTTCATTAAAACGGCAAGAAATGTTAAAATATTAAAATATACTTTAATAATAATTTTGTGTAAAAAGAAAATGCGATCATTTTTGTCCAGAAAATCCAAAATAAATTAGAAGTACCTTAAGTGGTTAAGATATCACAAGCAGGTACATTATAAAAAAATGTAATGCTTTTGTTCATTGCTTTTTGAAGATGATAACAAGAAACATTTGGATGCGGTGACAGCACAAGAAGATTTGGCCATGGCTTCAACAAAAAAATCAAATCTGCCCCCATGATTGATAGCTGATTTACGGAAAAGGATCTCAACAACATCTTTACTTTTGAATTTGAAAAGCCCAAATTTTGGCTTTTGGGAAAAGCAAAGAGGAAATTGGCAATGTGCAAGGTGGAAAAGGAAGTGAATGGCAAGCTCAAACCATGTAGCTTCAAGTTAAGTGAAGCAAGTGCCATGAAAAGTTTCAACCTTTGGCGGCAGGTAAAACGTAACCATCCTGAAAACTATGCAGCTCTGGTTACAAAAAAGGACCCGGAAGATTAGGAAAAACAGAAAGCTGACACAGCTAAATGACGTTCATCTGGCTCTTTGAAAACTCCTGGAGAAAAGATATGTTGTGGAGCTTCATCTGAAAAGAAACCCAAAATTGAGCAAACAAAACTTGACCTGAAGTCCTCAAAGGTTACAGTCACCATGGATGCCAATACTTTCCGTGCTGGGCTGATGGAAATGGTTTGCTTGAGTTCAACACCGCTCACTACCTTCCGGCTAAAGAACAAAGGATTCCAAAAAACTGCAGGTGAAATGGGTCGGCAGCTTGGCATTTCGACGGGGCAGGATGCAGTTCATCATTTAGTTGTCAGCATAGCTGAGTCTGGTCGCGAAGAGCTCAAGAAAGCTTTGGAGCAAAAATTGTGCTACCTGAAAATGGATGCGGCAACGCGTGGAAACAGAAGTTTCCTTGTAATCAATGCTCAGTACTACGAAGAAGGAAAAGACAAAGCTGTGGTAAAAACCTTGGACATAATCGACACTGAAGGGAGTCACAATTCTTCATACGTGAAAAGTCAAGTAAAAGCTATTTTAGGAAAATTTGGGATCAATGAAATGCAAGTGCTGAACATCTGCGTTGACAATGCAGCAAACATGACGTGTGCCATCAAAAATTTCAGCTAGGACAATGAAACCATTTCTACCTCTGAGCACAGGGATGTGGACAGAACTGAAGCTATTTTGCCTGATGAAGGAACTAAAGGAATGGATGAAATTGAACTCAACATGGATGCTGCTGCGCAATGGGTTAATGACCGTATCCTCATACTTCCAACATGGCTTCATGAGGACGACTCAAAAGTCCAACTGATGAGGTGTGGTATTCACACTCTTCAGTTGGCAATCTGGGATGGACTGAACAAAGAACATGCGAAGAAATTTCTGGCAAAAATTTGACAAGTCGTTGTCAAACTACGAACCCCAAGTAGTCGAAGAGTTCTGCTTGATCCACATGGGCTAACTCAATCATTGGATACTGTGACTCGCTGGGGTTCAACATTTGCAATGACTGATCGGCTTCTCGTTTTTCAATCTTACTGTGAACAAGTGTCTGCTGCTGGAACAAGAGAACGCAAGTTAACAAAAGCTGAATGGGACGAAGTGAAGAACCTGCGAGACCTCTTGGCAAAGCCAAACCAAACAACCGTGAATCTTCAAGCTGCCAATGTAACCCCAGGAGTTTTAATGAAGGAATGGCGAAAACTGTCCAAATTCTTGCAAGAAAATGGTGGACAAATTGCAGAAGGAATTCTATCCTCCATGCAGAAACGCAAAGAGAAGCTTTTTTGACAATATTCATTTCCTTGATGGAGTTTATGTTGACCCACAGTATCGGATTCTTCTTACCTCAAGGGAAATACCAAAGGCAAAGGAAGGGCTCCTTGATATTGCTCAATGACTCAAAAAACAAAATCCATTGCTACATTTGAACTCGGTTGAAGAAAATGAAACACAACAAAAGGAGTCATCAACAATCGAATTTGCGGTTTCAGAAAGTTCACATCCTTCAGAAATAGCAGGCTGTTCTCAAATTTCTGTCTCCACTCTGAACTTGTTCGAGCGTCCATCCCTGAGACGTCTTCAACCATCACAGGGAAATGGAGATAATTCAAGCACCAATTCTTCAGAAGATGATGCCTTCGACAAGGAATTGGATAAATAAGAAAGACGCCGGCGAGTTTCTGCGATTCATAATTGTAATGAAGCATTATTCAAGATTGTGAGGCGATGGAGTCTATTGGTAGGCTAAAAGTTAAGTCTCTTTTTGAGGTCATTCACAGCTACACACACCGCATTCAGGCTGCCTGTAGAATTCCTTCGAGCATGCCAACAACTCAAGCTTGTGTAGAGCAACTGCTTTTGGCTTTAAAGTTAATTTTAAATGATTTGCAGCAGACTATGAAAGACGACTTGATTGCTTCAATAATTTTTTAGAGAATAAATTATGAATGATTCTAGTTTGCATCATTGTTGATGAAATTTAAATTGTTTTAAAAGTCTTAATAAAAATAATGTTTTTTCAAAATTACAGTATGCACTTTTTTATTTAGTTAAAAACTAATTTGAGTCGGAGCACGGAGCGGAGTCAGAGCGGAGCTGGAGCAGTCACTATTGGTGCCGGAGCGGAGCTGGAGTGGAGCAATTCAGAAATTTGATTGCTCCAAATCCCTGATATGGGCTTGTATAAACTGAGTACCCATGTAACCTCATTACAATAAACCTTGGCTTCCTCACCACATCCCTCGCTTCGGTCTGTCATCCTAGAGGTTGTGGTCTATCTACAATTTAGATTGTGTTATGAAGCAGGAGCCATCTTTGAAGCACTTAGTACATTTATGGGCTCTAATAAACAATATAATGACTCTTGTTATCTCCAGGTTCACCAGATGATTCATTCCAATTTGTACTTGCACACTTAGTATTTTACAAACTTTTTACCATCAGCTCCAGTATGCTTGCTCCAGGATTGGCCAACACGTCATGCTGCAGGGAAAGATGAAAAGTCAACATGGGAAACTTATGAGCAGAAGTGGAAAAAAGAAATTCCTTCCTGAACCACACTACAGTCAATAACACATAGCCCTGGTCTACACTAGGACTTTAGGTCGAATTTAGCAGCGTTAAATCGATTTAAACCTGCACCCGTCCACACAATGAAGCCCTTTATTTCGACTTAAAGGGCTCTTAAAATCGATTTCCTTACTCCACCCCTGACAAGTGGATTAGCGCTTAAATCGACGTTGCCGGCTCGAATTTGGGGTACTGTGGACACAATTCGATGGTATTGGCCTCCGGGAGCTATCCCAGAGTGCTCCATTCTGACCGCTCTGGACAGCGCTCTCAACTCAGATGCACTGGCCAGGTAGACAGGAAAAGAACCGCGAACTTTTGAATCTCATTTCCTGTTTGGCCAGCGTGGCAAGCTGCAGGTGACCATGCAGAGCTCATCAGCACAGGTGACCATGATGGAGTCCCAGAATCGCAAAAGAGCTCCAGCATGGACCGAACGGGAGGTACGGGATCTGATCGCTGTTTGGGGAGAGGAATCCGTGCTATCAGAACTCCGTTCCAGTTTTCGAAATGCCAAAACCTTTCTGAAAATCTCCCAGGGCATGAAGGACAGAGGCCATAACAGGGACCCGAAGCAGTGCTGCGTGAAACTGAAGGAGCTGAGGCAAGCCTACCAGAAAACCAGAGAGGCGAACAGCCGCTCTGGGTCAGAGCCCCAAACATGCCGCTTCTATGATGAGCTGCATGCCATTTTAGGGGGTTCAGCCACCACTACCCCAGCCGTGTTGTTTGACTCCTTCAATGGAGATGGAGGCAATACGGAAGTAGGTTTTGGGGACGAAGAAGATGATGAGGAGGAGGTTGTAGATAGCTCACAGCAAGCAAGCGGAGAAACCGGTTTTCCCGACAGCCAGGAACTGTTTCTCACCCTAGACCTGGAGCCAGTACCCCCCGAACCCACCCAAGGCTGCCTCCTGGACTCAGCAGGCGGAGAAGAGACCTCTGGTGAGTGTACCTTTTAAAATGCTATACATGGTTTAAAAGCAAGCATGTGAAAGGATTACTTTGCCCTGGCATTTGCGGTTCTGCCTTTGCAAAAGGTTTCTGGGGAGGGCAGCCTTATTTCGTCCTTCATGGTAGGACACTTTACCACTCCAGGCCAGTAACACGTACTCGGGAATCACTGTAGAACAAAGCATTGCAGTGTATGTTTGCTGGCATTCAACCAAAATCCGTTCACGCGGTGGGAGGAGGCAAAATGCGACCTTGTAACGAAAGCACATGTGCTATGTATGTAATGTTAACAGCAAGGTTTACCCTGAAAGAGTGTAGCGACTGTTTTATAAAATGTGTCTTTTTAAATACCGCTGTCCCTTTTTTTTTTCTCCACCAGCTGCATGTGTTTCAATGATCACAGGATCTTCTCCTTCCCAGAGGCTAGTGAAGCTTAGAAAGAAAAAAAAAACGCACTCGCGATGAAATGTTCTCCGAGCTCATGCTGTCCTCCCACACTGACAGAGCACAGACGAATGCGTGGAGGCAAATAATGTCAGAGTGCAGGAAAGCACAAAATGACCGGGAGGAGAGGTGGAGGGCTGAAGAGAGTAAGTGGCGGGCTGAAGAGAGTAAGTGGCGGGCTGAAGAGAGGGCTGAAGCTCAAAGGTGGCGGCAGCGTGATGAGAGGAGGCAGGATTCAATGCTGAGGCTGCTGCAGGACCAAACCAGTATGCTCCAGTGTATGGTTGAGCTGCAGCAAAGGCAGCTGGAGCACAGACTGCCACTGCAGCCCCTCTGTAACCAACCGCCCTCCTCCCCAAGTTCCATAGCCTCCACACCCAGACGCCCAAGAACGCGGTGGGGGGGCCTCCGGCCAACCAGCCACTCCACCACAGAGGATTGCCCAAAAAAAAGAAGGCTGTCATTCAATAAATTTTAAAGTTGTAAACTTTTAAAGTGCTGTGCTTAAAGTGCTGTGTGGCATTTTCCTTCCCTCCTCCACCACCCCTCCTGGGATACCTTGGTAGTCATCCCCCTATTTGTGTGATGAATGAATAACGAATGCATGACTGTGAAGCAGCAATGACTTTATTGGCTCTGCAAGCAATGATTAAAGGGAGGAGGGGAGGGTGGTTAGCTTACAGGGAAGTAGAGTGAACCAAGGGGCGGGGGAGTTAATCAAGGAGAAACAAACAGAACTTTCACACCGTAGCCTGGCCAGTCATGAAACTGGTTTTCAAAGCTTCTCTGATGCGTACCGCGCCCTCCTGTGCTCTTCTAACTGCCCTGGTGTCTGGCTGCGCGTAACCAGCAGCCAGGCGATTTGCCTCAACCTCCCACCCCGCCATAAACGTCTCCCCCTTACTCTCACAGATATTGTGGAGCACACAGCAAGCAGTAATAACAGTGGGAATATTGGTTTCGCTGAGGTCTAAGCGAGTCAGTAAACTGCGCCAGCGCGCCTTTAAACGTCCAAATGCACATTCTACCACCATTCTGCACTTGCTCAGCCTGTAGTTGAACAGCTCCTGACCACTGTCCAGGCTGCCTGTGTACGGCTTCATGAGCCATGGCATTAAGGGGTAGGCTGGGTCCCCAAGGATACATATAGGCATTTCAACATCCCCAACAGTTATTTTCTGGTCTGGGAATAAAGTCCCTTCCTGCAGCTTTTGAAACAGACCAGAGTTCCTGAAGATGCGAGCATCATGCACCTTTCCCGGCCATCCCACGTTGATGTTGGTGAAACGTCCCTTGTGATCCACCAGAGCTTGCAGCACTATCGAAAAGTACCCCTTGCGGTTTATGTACTCGGCGGCTTGGTGCTCCGGTGCCAAGATAGGGATATGGGTTCCGTCTATAGCCCCACCACAGTTAGGGAATCCCATTGCAGCAAAGCCATCCACTATGACCTGCACATTTCCCAGGGTCACTACCCTTGATATCAGCAGATCTTTGATTGCGTGGGCTACTTGCATCACAGCAGCCCCCACAGTAGATTTGCCCACTCCAAATTGATTCCCAACTGACCGGTAGCTGTCTGGCGTTGCAAGCTTCCACAGGGCTATCGCCACTCGCTTCTCAACTGTGAGGGCTGCTCTCATCTTGGTATTCATGCGCTTCAGGGCAGGGGAAAGCAAGTCACAAAGTTCCATGAAAGTGCCCCTACGCATGCGAAAGTTTCGCAGCCACTGGGAATCGTCCCAGACCTGCAACACTATGCGGTCCCACCAGTCTGTGCTTGTTTCCCGAGCCCAGAATCGGCGTTCCACAGCATGAACCTGCCCTATTAGCACCATGATGCATGCATTGGCAGGGCCCATGCTTTCAGAGAAATCTGTGTCCATGTCCTGATCACTCACGGGACCGCGCTGACGTCGCCTCCTCGCCCGGTATCGCGTTGCCATGTTCTGGTGCTGCATATACTGCTGAATAATGCGTGTGGTGGTTAATGTGCTCCTAATTGCCAAAGTGAGCTGAGCGGGCTCCATGCTTGCCGTGGTATGGCGTCCGCACAGAAAAAAGGCGCGGAACGATTGTCTGCCGTTGCTCTGACGGAGGGAGGGGCGACTGACGACACGGCTTACAGGGTTGGCTTCAGGGAGCTAAAATCAACAAAGGAGGTGCCTGTACATCAAGGAGTATTTCAGGCAGGACTGCACGGAGGGTTCCAATAAGAAATGGTGCACCTAAGTTATCGTTGTTATTGGAACAAGGAGGTTAGCCTGGCCTCTGATTGATACATGGCTAGATTTACCTTGCTGCACCTTCTCTGTGAGTGACTGCAGTGTGACCTAGAGGAATGAGTCCCCTAGACAGGGGAGGAGGCAAATGAGTACAAAACAAATCTGGTCTATTTCTTGTTTTGACCCACTCCATCTATCTTTTACATCTTTGGCTGGCGCAGCAGACGGTGCAGAAGGACTGCATGCCATCCACATCTCATGGCTGCTCGGCAGAAGATGGTACAGTACGACTGCTAGCCATCCCCATCTCTTGCCTGCCTGGCAGAAGATGGTGCAATACGACTGCTAGCAATCCTCATCTCTTGCCTGCCTGGCAGAAGATGGTACAGTACGACTGCTAGCAGTCCGTATCGCCTGCCCGCTCACCATAAGACGGTTCAATAGGACTGACTGCAGGACTAAAGAGAATGACCTGGTCAAGTCACTCCAAATTTAGTCCCTGCGACCATGTCTGCCCAGGCGCTCCCAGCCGACGCGGCCAGGAGCACCTCGGACACGACGAGGACGACTACCAATCGTATTGCACCGTCTGCTGCCAGAAGGCAATGGGTTGCTGCTACTGTGTAGCAAAGCCGTACCGCGTCTGCCAGCACCCAGGAGACATAGGGTGACGGTTACCTGAGCGGGCTCCATGCTTGCTGTGGTATGGCGTCTGCACAGGTAACTCAGGAAAAAAGGCGCGAAATGATTGTCTGCCCTTGCTTTCACGGGGGGAGGGAGGGAACGGGGGGCTGATGATATGTACCCAGAACCACCCGCGACAATGTTTTAGCCCCATCAGGCATTGGGATCTCAACCCAGAATTCCAATGGGCAGCGGAGACTGCGGGAACTGTGGGATAGCTACCCACAGTGCAACGCTCCGGAAGTCGACGCTTGCCTCGGTACTGTGGAAGCGCTCCGCCGAGTTAATGCACTTAGAGCATTTTCTGTGGGGACACACACACTCGAATATATAAAACCGATTTCTAAAAAACCGACTTCTATAAATTCGACCTTATTCCGTAGTGTAGACATACCCATAGAGCATGAGATGTCATTACTTTGTCAATACTTGGGATTTAGCAATCTGTGTCCAGCATCTGGAGAAGACAAAGAAAGCTATGATTTACACCATTTCTTCTTATTCCTGTTTCAAGCAAAATTAACTCATCCTGTACAATTGGCAGCTTTCCTCATCTACATTTCAGGTTTCCCTGGCAGCAGCTATACTGGTTGCTGGCTGCTACTGCTGAATCAGGACTAACCTCAGAGACAGACAGGGCCATAGCCTGTTTGACTGTTCTTGTCAACATTCTCCAAGATGGCCCTGCCGCACCACAGGCTATAGCAGCTGGCCGTGAACCAGGCTAAAAGCAGAGTGAGCAGCAGGTGATGCTCATGCCAGTTGATTACTGTCACCTTCTGCTCCTAAAAGCAAATGAGGTTAGGAACAGGAGAGAGGGGAGACACCTAAGCCACCCCAAATGCATTCTAGACTCCTCATGGAAGACTTCACTGCAGTGTTGCTAACTCTTGTGATTACAGAACAAGTCTCACAATACTTAGTGTTTTTCTTAAAGCCCCAGCTTCCAAACTCATGTGAGAATCTCAGCTTTCATTTAGAAAACGTTTCTAACTTTCATGGCTGTGGAGAAAAGCTGAAAAACATGAACACTAACAGCTCAGAAAACAGAAGACAAATAAAAAGACCAAAAATGTATGTTTGAGTCTCATAATTTTGAGGGGCCTGACCCATGAGTTTTGAATGCTTGAGGCTGGTGATACTGCCCTGTTATTATTTATTTGTATTATGGTAGCTCCTGTGAGTTCCTGCCATGGACCAGGACCCCATTATGCTAGGTACTGAACCAACACAGTGTAATGGGAGAGCAGGAGACTGCCACATGGCTAATTGCCATCAGGCCAGCTGCATCCAGCAAAACACTTGGGCTGAGAAGAGCAGGAGCAATCATGTGAGCTGAGGCTAGGCCCAGTGGCATAGCCTGTTCCCCTCCCTCTTCCATGAGACTCATGTTTTTCTGCTGTTGGAAGTCTTCTCCTCAAGATAAGGCCTGTGAGAGACAGTGTGCTCAGCGTGCTGACCCTCATGTAGCTGAATAAGCATACTGCCCCTGGCAGGCACTACTGTGAGGAGATGCAAAAAGCCATATGGGGCAGGGAAGAGAGATGGAGGAAGAAGGCCTGGGCACACCACACAAACAGTATTGTTAAGTCTGAAAACCTGACCTGTAAGTAAGCCCAATGCACCCCAGGCATCTGAACCCCAGAAGCAGGGATATTCCCTGTTTAACAGAGCACCTTGGACCTTGTAGTGACTACATGGGCATTTGGTAATGATAGTAACATTAGTAGGAAATGAAAAATCCTCCAAAATGATGGCTAGAGCATAAGAGGACTCAATGCTGCAGCCCTTCAGGCAGAAGCCCTATTGAAGACAGTAAGAATGCTACCCACAGAGTAGCCACAGGATAAGGTCTTAATAGATTAACTAAATCAATGGCTACAAGTAATAGGCCAAATGTCCTCCAAGATACAGCCAAGCATCATCACTGACTTCAACAGACCCCAATTTTAGACGTGTCTTGACTCTGAGCCCCTGTAGAGAAACAACAGGCACAACAATATGGGGAAATACAAAGTTATAAGATGTCCTAGTCCAGGCTTAGCCTAGTTAAAAAGTTAGTGCTGAAGAAGTGAGGTGAAAAGAATTACAAAGGCTCAGCAATGTGAATGAAGTGTTAACCCACTTCCTGAACTGGAGAAAAGAGTGACCAAGAATCAGCCTGGCACTCCGATTAACAAGTGAACATATTGTTATGATCATACCTACAGCTTTTTTTTCTTTTCCATTGGGAAGAAAGGTGGAGCTGGACTCTTAAGCATGGCCTGTACTGTACCCTGCCCTGTAGTAAAGAACGGGCATATCACTCATTTCTTTGCACAGTACAAACTAAGAGCTTTTAATGGAAACTGCTTACTTATGTGTGGAAAGTCTGCCAAGCAAATTACCAAGGCCACAAGAGTTTTGCCCAGTCCAGTGAGCATCTAGGAAGGGAGGAGGATAATAATCTCTATTGCTCTCTGCTATAACTAAATACGGTATGGCTCTGTGGTGACTAAGGAGCAGAAGATAGGCCATCCTATCCTGTTCCCACTGGCATCAATAGGAGTTTTGCCATTGACAAATCCTGGTTCAACAGTGTCTTAAGACTAATGAACTGGAGAAAGCCTTTAAATCTTTTGATGCTACTGCTCTGGCCACTTGCTGCTGTAAATGAAAAAAGGGATAGTCACAGAAAGGTACAATATTCAAGAGAAGATAGAAAACAGCCAACAGTAAGTCAAAAATAAAGTTTATCCAAAGATAGCTTCAATCATTCACTCCATTTTACTATTCTACCCCTACAGTAATTCTCCTTGTTTCCACCCATATTCTCCACAGACCAAAAATATCTCTAATATTAACCTACTCCACCCACAGAGGATAAATATGGGGAAAGCCTACCTAAGTAATGCTGAATGTTGTAAGACATTTGAATTAGAGCAGGGCGAAAAATGGATTTTTCAGTTCGCTGGCAATTCCAAAGAATTGAAAAAAGTTTCATTTGGGTCAAACTGAAAACAACTTCTTTTTAATATTTTCAGCAAATTATGAAGTAAAACAAAAATTGAGTTGGCTCAGAATCAAATGTTTCATTTTGACGTTACTGAAACATTTTGATTTTTCAGTCCGGTCAAAACTATTCAGTGAACTCAACACATTGACTAGTTTCAGGTCAACCAAAACTATGTTTTTCAGCAAATAAACTATTCACTGACAAAATTTCATCCAGCTCTAATTTGAATTAGAAAAGGTGATTTTAGTGTGAATGATCAATCTGTCCTCAAAAGCAACACCAACACATTTCTGTTTACAATCGTGACCTACTTATGGTAACTTTCAAACTACAGTGTGTGCCATTATTCAACAGATGAACAAAAACAGTTACATAAGATCATAATACTATCAGAATAAAGTTATAACACTGGACAAAACACAAGTAGCAGGTGTGCAAATACAAAATAATCACTCAAACTCTGATTTAAAAATGCAGAGGTATAAAATGCTTTAAAACTTTAACTTCTTGCACATTTCAGTTGCCAACTGCTGAAAATTCTAAAAACTGCCTACTAAAAAGGTAAAAAAATATTTGAAATATGCAATTCAGTGAACATATACAAAAAGAAAAGGAGGACTTGTGGCACCTTAGAGACTAACAAATTTATAATTTTAAATGTTAGTCTCTAAGGTGCCACAAGTCCTCCTTTTCTTTTTGCGGATACAGACTAACAGGGCTGCTACTCTGAAACCTGAACGTATGCAGTTATAGAACTATCAGAGGAGGAGAATGAGTGATTTCTGAAAACTGGAATAACACGGAGCACTCAGAGATTTTAAACAAAATAAAGTAAAATAGGGAGCCTGGTAGTTTGAGAGTTTCTAACATTTAATAAGTGATGGTTATTAAATTCCAATTCAATTCTTTCAGCTAGAAACCGAAGACGAAACACAGATTTCTCTCAACCTGAAAGACCCAAGAATGAGGGAGAAAGGTAAACAGTGCCAGCCACTTAAAACTAAGTAGGATTTGTTTCATTCACATCCATAATATTTTCAGCAGCCTCCATTTCATGATTCAGAATTGCTGATGTAAATGATTTATAGTAACTGAAGTAAGAAGTGACCCACGCTTTGAATGGAATAGTTCAGAATATTTATGGGTTTAAAATGAAGCGCATTATTATAGAATCCCATAACAAAGTAAGAGATATGTAGTATCTGAATGTACTCTAGACTGAGTGTCAGTACCGCTTGCCTATAACAGACACATTGCACAGGTCATAAATGAGGGTACTCTGCTATCCCTCAGTTCTCCGGCTATGCACTTCTCATTTTTCAGCAGAGGATCTCAACAAAAGTTAAGGATGTCGATTAGTCCTCAGAGCAACTACCCAGAGCCAGGAATAGTACCCAAGAATCTAGGAAACAAAACTCCTAGTCCTTTGCTCTAACCACTAGTCCACACTAGTCTGATTAATCAGGGGTGGCTTGTCTGAAAGTGTTTGTACAAGCGAGAGAATGCAAGACATTAGTCTAGAGTAAGGAAGGCAGTGTTTGAGAGCACACGTTGCTGGATGCAACCCTCCTCCTCGAAGGAAATGCTGCCCACCCAGCAGACAGCACACCAGGATTTAAAAGCAAATAATTTGGGGGATGCATGCAGGGAACACCTTTACAGCCGCTCAAATGCTTTTAAATCGGAGCTCTCGTGCAGGGGCCGGCGGCATCTGCTTTGAGGCACGGACCGATTTCTTCCCTCCCCACAGCCGGTACAAAGTTTTAACATATATTAAGCAACCCCTTACCTATCTTGGTCTGTTTCTTTGCAATTTCTTCCTCCCGCTTTCTTGCCCGTTTAAACTTGAACTGAGACCAATCTGTGGCTGTTGCCTGGCTCTTCAGCCACCTTTACCGTCCAGCTGTGCGCCGAGTCCCCGCCGCCTCCCATCTCCGAGTGGGAGTGAAACATTAACACCCCCTTGCCCCGCGTCCTCTTCGCGGCACGTAGAGAACGCCTCAAATTGTCGTCTGCAGAGGATGCGGGCCCCGCCGCAGCTGCCCAGCTGTCCCTCAGCTGGCTGCACCGCTGGGCGCTAAAGTCCAGCGCCGCCTGTCTGCACCGCCCCCCGATTGCCTTTCATTGGGAGCGCTGCCTTCTCGGCGCCTTCCGATGGGCTCCCGGCGCCGTCAGTCTCTGGGCTCCCGGGCCGGCGTGCAGCACTTAGGCCAGCCGCCCTCTGCAGGGGGAGGGCGGGGACGGCGGAGGCTGGAGTGATGTGGCACTGAGCGGCGGGGAGGGGGGAGCGTCTGGGCAGGGGCGCTTCTCTGGGCTCTTGAATGTGTGCAAAAAGAAAAGGAGGACTTGTGGCACCTTAGAGACTAACCAATTTATTTGAGCATGAGCTTTTTGCGAATACAGACTAACACGCTGTTACTCTGAATGTGTGCAGAGAGCCAATCCCAGACTGCGGGCTCACGGCACGGTCTCTGCCCCCCGGGCTCAGACATGTAAACTGGCAGGCTCTCTCCTTTGCAGTTGTGAAGGGGGTGATGGATTTTGCAGGGCGTTTCAATCGGACACTTAGTCCTGTATCTCTTTCATTTGTATTTTACTCACAGGTATGGCCACAGGGGGCCCAATAAGGGGGCCCAGCCTAGCCCAACCTCCAAGACCTACCAGCCTTTTGGTGCCCTCCTTTCAAACCACTGCAGGATTTAGGAATTCTCACTGCTGGTTGCCCCTTTGCGCTCGTTTGAATAGTCACAGGTTGGCAGCGCCTAGCACAGTTTAAGTGCCTCAGGCAGCTCTGTTTTGGGGTCAGCTCAGTTACTAGTCCTGGTCTACACTACCAAGTTAGGTCAATGCAAGGCAACTTACGTCAGCCTAGCTCTGTAAGCGTCTACGCTAAAATGTCGCTCCCGCTGACGTAACTTGCTTGCTATGCTGACCTAATAACTCCACCTCCATGAGAGGTGTAGCGCTTAGTTTGACGTAGTTATGTTGATGCAGTATCAGTGTAGACACTGTGTTGATTACATCAACTGTTGCTGCCTTTTAGAAACCATCCCACAATGCCTGTACGACTGACAGTTAGGGTTTGTCTACACTACCACGCGGGGTCTATCTAAGAGACGCAACTTCAGCTGCATGAATAGCAAAGCTGAAGTCAACATACGTAGATCTACTTACCACGGTGTCTTCACTGTGGGAAGTCGACAGCTGACGCTTTCCCGTCGACTCCACTTGCGCTTCTTGTTCTGGTAGAGTACCGGAGTCGATGGGAGAGCGCTCAGCCGTCGATTTATCATGTTTATACTAGACGTGATAAATCAACCCTCGCTGGATCGATCGCTGCCCGCTGATCTGGCGGGTAGTGTAGACAAGCCCTTAGATTGGTGCAAGTGCTCCTGGTGAGGATGCGCTCCAACAACACTAGAAGCACAGTGTGGACATACAAAAGTGATTTAATTACTGCGGTGGCTGTATGTCAATGTAACTTAGGTTGACATAATTTTGTAGTGTAGACATTCCCTAAGAGATGCTTTCTTTTCACAGCTGGCTTTTTTCCAAAGTAAAATGGAATATAGCACAAAAATGACACTTTCTTGCAACTGTCACCTCTCCTGTCAACCTGTGGAACTCATTGCCAGGGTAAGTTGTGAAGGCCAAAACTATAATGGGGCTCAAAAAATAATTAGATAAGTTCATGGAGGCTCAATCCATCAATGGCTATTAGCCAAGATGGTCAGGGATGCAACCCCAGGCTGTGGATATGCCTAAACAGCGAGTGGACAACGGGATGGATCACTTGATGATTACCTGTTCTGTTCATTCCCTCTGAAGCACCTGGCATTGGCCATTGTCACCAGACAGGATACTGGGCTAGATGGACCATTGATCTGACCCAGTATCGCCGTTCTTTTGTTCCTATCCCCCCATTCTCTCTGGTTAATTAGCTAGAAAAGTGACTTTGTTTATAATAGAAGTGCCTTTTCTAGATCATAAAGATCTTTACAAAAGTAGGCAAGTGTTATTGTGCCCATTTTACAGAGGAGGAAACTGAGGCACAGAAAAATTAGATGATTTATCCATGGTCACACAGAAAATATATGGCAGAGCCAGGAATAGAACCCAGGAATTATTATAAACTGAAAAGTCTGTTAACAGCATAATAATACATTATACTATAAAGGATACCTTACACTATTTGCACAATATCAGCTGGCAGAGACTATCAACACAGTTCAAAAGCCTTAAACAGAGAGAGTTTCTCTTTGCAAGTGTTGACCAGGAAATTCTGGTAAACAGGTATTTTAAAAAGTCCCTGCTTAGAGCCAGCAACAGACAAGCTGGAGTGGCCATCCCTCTCCTCCAAGGTTCCCGGAATAGCCTATGATGCTAATCTCACCTCTTCTGCCTACTAAATTATCTGTTTTATGGGGCTTTCCAGACTAAATCCTTGCACCCCTAAAACTGCCCTCATTCAAGTTCTCTGCCTCTAAACCTTATTAAGAACCCCAACCCTTCCTATTTGTGGGTGGGTTTAAGATATTTGGGGAGAAGGTTAATGCTATACAGATTCATCCTGGATCTAGCAGACATTCTATTACATGCTTCTGTTTGATTTTGTGCCTATGGTTGTCCCTGGATCCTTTTGAGAGGGCTAAATCCATACCCACCTCTCTAGTATACTGCTATGAATATGCTTGCTTGCATATAACATTGTATAAGTAGTTGCTGCAGGTGCCTTTTATACAATTTTATTTGGCAAGTGGAGTTGCCCTTCCAAACTGCATAGTGATATGAGCATTTACCAGAACTCCCACCTCACTCTAAGCAGAGTTTCAAGTTGTCCACAGTTTCAAATGAGGGGCAAGTCTGCCATGTGCAGTCAGAATTTAATAAAAGGTATCAACCTATAAGTGAGAATACAATGTTAATTGTCTTCCCCCAGGTCATCTAATCAAACCACACTATAAGTTGGCAAATCTGTTGAGAGTACTCGACAGCTGGATCCAACCTGTATGGCATCCAGACCTGTTTTCTGGTCACAAGGTACTTCTTTAGCAGTTTATTTTAAAACTGACAGCAGAGTGCTTCTCATGTAATGATACTGTCTCTACCTAATGGATATCCTTCTGCTGCTGGGGAGTTTTCAGGCAGGCTAAGCTGCTTCAATCTGAGTGCACTTACCTCATCTGTTTACCAGTTGTCTGATGAGTCTGTGTTGGCAGCAGTGATCTCTGCCCTTCTGGGATTCACCATCTTCATCTTTACACTCACCTCTTTTCTTTTCCTTTTAAGCAAAGTGTTTCCCCCTGTGAGAATACTCTAACCAGCCGGGCAGCAAAGGATTCTGCACCCCTAGGGGAGTCTGAATGCTCTTGTGGTATGTGTTACTGTAAAAACCAAAAAGTAAACAAGAATATTCTGTAGCGTCTTTAGTGCAGGGGTAGTCCATTATTTTTTGTCAAGGTCCAGATTTCTTGGTCAAGGTATGGTCAAGGTCCAGACACCAGGAAAATTTAAAAAAAATAAATAATGATAATAATATGTAAATTAAAAGGTTTGGGGGTCCATTCAAAAGCATCTGGCGGTCTGGATTTGGCCCATGGTCTGCCTATTGACTACCCCTGCTTTAAGGTCTAAGGATTAGGAGACAACAGGGCTTCCCTTAGCCAAAGTAGGAATATGATTGTTTTAGCTAAGTCCAAAGAAAGGTCAAAAGCACAACTAATTTCAGCCAGGTACGGAAGGCCCAATGCTTCTTAGCTCTCCTCTCAGTTACAACTAACCCCAGAACACAGGGTGCACACCTTCCTCTTATACAGTGTGATGGCAGGGAGTTAATTCCACACAGTTGCTCCAACCTTGCTACACCTCCCACCACCCAAAAATCCTGTACTCACAGAAGGCAACCGTGTTTCTTTCTCTAGCTAGAGGGATAGGTAAGCTCATTTCTGGCAACCTCTGAATGGGTTATATACTCATCATGATCATATTTGGTTAAATGAAGCAACAACAATTATTTAAAATTTTTCTCACTTAAAAGAAGAATCCAGGGTAACATAAGACGTATTCTGTTAAATAATTACAAAGAAGGACAAATTCTTTCAAGTTTCAGAGTAACAGCCGTGTTAGTCTGTATTCGCAAAAAGAAAAGGAGTACTTGTAGCACCTTAGAGACTAACCAATTTATTTGAGCATGAGCTTTCGTGAGCTACAGCTCACTTCATCAGATGTTTACCGTGGAAACTGCAGCAGACTTTATATACACACAGAGAATATGAAACAATACCTCCTCCCACCCCACTGTCCTGCTGGTAATAGCTTATCTAAAGTGATCAACAGGTGGGCCATTTCCAGCACAAATCCAGGTTTTCTCACCCTCCACCCCCCCACACAAATTCACTCTCCTGCTGGTGCTAGCCCATCCAAAGTGACAACTCTTTACATAATCAAGTCGGGCTATTTCCTGCATAGATCCAGGTTTTCTCACATCCCCCCCACCCCCATACACACACAAACTCACTCTCCTGCTGGTAATAGCTCATCTAAACTGACCACTCTCCAAGTTTAAATCCAAGTTAAACCAGAACATCTGGGGGGGGGGGGGGGGTAGGAAAAAACAAGAGGAAACAGGCTACCTTGCATAATGACTTAGCCACTCCCAGTCTCTATTTAAGCCTAAATTAATAGTATCCAATTTGCAAATGAATTCCAATTCAGCAGTTTCTCGCTGGAGTCTGGATTTGAAGTTTTTTTGTTTTAAGATAGCGACCTTCATGTCTGTGATTGCGTGACCAGAGAGATTGAAGTGTTCTCCGACTGGTTTATGAATGTTATAATTCTTGACATCTGATTTGTGTCCATTTATTCTTTTACGTAGAGACTGTCCAGTTTGACCAATGTACATGGCAGAGGGGCATTGCTGGCACATGATGGCATATATCACATTGGTGGATGTGCAGGTGAACGAGCCTCTGATAGTGTGGCTGATGTTATTAGGCCCTGTGATGGTGTCCCCTGAATAGATATGTGGGCACAATTGGCAACGGGCTTTGTTGCAAGGATAAGTTCCTGGGTTAGTGGTTCTGTTGTGTGGTATGTGGTTGTTGGTGAGTATTTGCTTCAGGTTGCGGGGCTGTCTGTAGGCAAGGACTGGCCTGTCTCCCAAGACTTGT